AGTCTCTTAGATGAGGCAGTCAATGAGGCAGTCAAGTCAGAAAAATCAGGCTGAGAAGACCAATAATCCCATGTGATGGTAATTAACATTGAGAGGCCTCTGCTAATGTGCTGGAAGGGAATAAGAACTTGCTCATTGGGCCCTCACCCTTAATAAGGCAGAGGAGGGGGTTAGGTAGAGGGAAATTGATTTGTTGGAAGCAAAAGGAATGGGACGCTTCTTAAAATATCATTTTCAGAGCACATCCTGGGTGAAGGAAGAAATTAGGTTCTTTCCAAGTCCTTAGCCCGGCTTCATCAAGATTGAGCTCAGAAGGTTTCAAAGATGAGGACCCACACAGTCAACGAGAGTTAAATGACCTGCCCAAGGTCACACAGTGAGTTAGTGAGGGTACAAAAATTAGGATTCATAGTCTTTGTGTTTCTAGTTCATTGCCTGGTGCACTGGAGTGAAAAAATACTCTGTATAATAAAGCCCCAGAGCCATTCTTTTTTGACTTATAGAAGTTGAACAAATTATAACAGGCTCGGAATTTAAAAAGAATCAGCTTGAACCTTAAAATTGAATTGAAACACACAACCCACAGTTATAGTACTGGTCACCAGAGTAAAATATTCTCTGTGAACATACCTTCAGGCTAGCATTAATTAAAAAGAAAAGTAGGAAATAGTGTGAGCCTAGAAATTACATGTACCTACAAGGCTAGCTATTATTGCTCATCCAGTTCATTCAATACTCAATATTTCATTCAAAAGATATTATTTGAAGGGCTGATCGGTTAACTCACTCAGTAGAGCATGGTGCTGATAACACCAAGGTCAAGGGTACACATCTCCACACCAGCCAGCTCCCCAAAAAATAAGTTATTTGATCACTTATTACACACTAAGCACTGTATTAGACAGTGGGGATATAATAGTGAATAAGACAGTCAGATATACAGCCGTGTATTCACAGAAGTACAGTCTTAGTAGTCATCAAATAAGCAACTCTCTCCCAAGTACAGTCAAGTTCAATCTTCTAGGGCATGCCTCTTACCCCATTATTCATGGGTAGCTCTTCTCACTCAAATCCATAAAAAGAGAAACCAAAAGCACAGTTGCTCCAAACTCCAAACTTCCATGACCAACTACTTGACATTTCTAGTGTGATTCCTAGATAACTGCTGTATATTTTTCTCTCTACAGGGTATTCATGCAAATTTTTATTAAATGCCTAAAACATCCTTCTTTAATTTATGTAACAGATTGCCCCCTTTCTTTTCTTTCTAGACCCTCCTCAAACGGTACTTTTCTAAGATCCCTTTTCTTGCCTACT